CCAGGAGTTCCAGGTTTGCCTGGTGTTCCAGGTGTGCCTGATGTTCCAGACGTGCCAGGAGTTCAGGCGTGCCAGGAGTTTCAGGCGTGCCAGGAGTTTCAGGCGTGCCAGGAGTTTCAATTGTGCCAGGAGTTCCAGGCGTACCAGGAGTGTCAGGTATGCCAGGAGTGTGAGATGTGCCAGGAGTTCCAGACGTGCCAGATATGCCAGAAATTTCAGACGTGCTTGAAGTGCCTGGAAATCCAGGTGTTCCAGGTATACCTGATGTTCCTGGGATGCCAGGAATTGCAGATGTTCCTGGAATGCCAGGAGTTCCAGGCTTTTCAGGTATACTAGATGTACCAGGAGTTCCAGATACGCCTGTCATTTCTAATGTGCCAGGAGTTTCAAATATGTTAAATGTAGTTAATTAATTAGGTATACTTATAGTTTTATTAGGAATATAAGTATATTAGGAGTATGAGACATGCTTAATGTTATGGTAGTACCTGTATTTTCTGATATTGATGTAGTTGATGTTTCTGGTTTAGTTATAGCGTCAGATGTATTATTTGCTTGTCCGGCATTATCATTTCCCGTGTTTGATCCTGTTTTGCAATCATCCCGTGATACTGCCCAAGGATGATTACAACCTTCTATATCTGGATCCCAGACTGTGCCAACACCACATTCAAATTCATATTTTATGAAGTTTCCGGATCCTGTATCAACACATCTATAAAATTTTTTGCAATCATTTAAGTCGGGAAAATATCCTTCTTGGACGCATTGATTTCGACCCTGATCACTGCTAGGTTTTCCAGTTGATAATTCGGTTGAAGTCGAAGTAACTTGAGTCGTAGTCGTAAGTTGTACAGTTGTATTTGTGCTTGTGACGATTTTCTTTGTTGTGGTATCTGTATCTAGTCCGCCACATTCAGGGCGACCGCTGTCGCTAGGAAAAGTACATATGTTTCCCTTGTATTTCGAAAATACTGTTCCAATAGCGCATTCAAATTTAAATTTCCTTAGAGGTCTTCCGAATCCCCAATCGACACATCTGTAGAATATCCTACAGTCGTGAGGATCCTCATGATATCCTACTTCGATACACGCGAAACCATTTAAAAGTTTAGAGAAGTCGATGATATTTTGATCTATAATATCTATAAAATATTGAAAATATTTATTAGAAATAATAATTATATAATGAATTCTTTGTATTGAAACGGAATTCGATTCGAAGTTTTTCTTTAAAAAATTAGCAACGATTCGGAATATTCAAATTTAACTGACATATGATCTGTATAAAGAATGTTATATTAATGATGTATTTTCTTTGATGCACTCAAAGCTATGCTATATATCTTGCGCAAAACTAATTTGAAGACATTGCGAACAATAACATTTTTGATAACGATGACGAGAAATAAAATAAATTTTAAGACGTGAAATTGTTAAGCATATTACATGTTTCGTGTACAAGTCGGTTTATCAAAGAAAACATAGTTCATGCATTTCCTTCATCATATATCTTTTATGTCATTTCTACTACAAACTATGAATATTTCGAACTAATTTTTGTTCAAACTTCGAATCAATGATCAAGTCTTACCAGGTTCGGCAAATGTCGACGAAATTAATATCGTTATGACGCTTAATTTTACTAAGCTTGTCCACATGATTTTTCTTCAGCGTATCTGAAATTAAAACGATCCACGATATCGTAACGCTATGATAAAAGTCAATCATAATTTTATCGATTTCCAAACGAGGAATTAAAGATGATCATATAAATTCAGATTTAATTCCACGTTCGAATTTCTGTCGTTTTAACGGGATACAGAACATGACGTAATCTGTTTTCTAGGTCAAGAGGCGTGGATTTCCTCACTTGTGAATTTCGTATAAACAAGCGAATATAAGCAACCGTACACAGTTCACTGTTACGTCCTGGTTGGCCTACGTCCAATCTTCCCCCATCAGCGACAGTCAAAGGATTCTAACTGTCTCCTGACCTTGGTTGGAATAATTCTCGGCATCATCGGCAATGATTCAGGATCAAACGATTCTCATTTCGATCGCGTCCCCACAAACCGATCCGTGACCCCGATTTTTCTGTTATTCGATAGACTTACACGTGCTAGGCAAACGATTTGAATACCCGCCTGATAATTGATTCACTTTTACAGTTACGTTTAGCATTGATCTTCGACACGTATTTAATGATTTAACGCGATAAATTCTTTCACCAACACCGTGTAAATCACCATTCTCGTAAACGGTATAAGAAAGACGAGATGTGAATGTTTATGTATATCGTCTTGGCTGTGCCATCTTACAATCTACATTGTAAATTTTTTAATTCTCTTCTAAACGAATTCTTTCTATGCAGCCGATGCAACGATTACTGGCCATCAGTAACAGTTTACCGAATCGTTTATCGCAGTATTAACAGTAACTCGAATTACAGTCACAACTATCGAAAAATTCACAGGGGGAAATTCCTCGTAAATAGTCCGATCAGAAAGTATTATTCCATGAATTTATCGCGATTTATCACGAAATTACCACGATTCGAATCACGTTTCTTATCGAAACGATAAGATTCGATGGGAATTCCTATGCATATATTTTCCTATGCGATGAAACAAGGGAAGAAAACGTTTGTTCGGAATTCTCTATCTTCGATCTACACCTTGATTCACAATCTACATTCCCACGCGAGGATTGCGAACGCTAGATATTTCGAAGGTAGGCGGAGATGTATCGTTTGCTACCATCGACGATCGTTCGACAGACTATCGATGCGATTGAAAATAACGGATAGATATATCTGTCGTTGATTCGATCACAAAAATTGTATTTATTTCTTCTCCTACAAATATCGAATTATATTCAATACAAATACAATTGCTGCATTAATAGTGAAATACTATCACAATTCTTTTTTTTTTTTGTTTCTTTCGTTTAACTAATCGAAAGAGATTAAATAGAAGAATAAATCATTGAAAGGGCCAACGTCGATGATTAGATTTCGAAAGTTTTGCATCGTTCTCCGATCATCCACGCCCTTTTGTTTCTTTCCTCAAAATCATCGTCTACGCGCAATATGGAATGTACCTCTCCGGATACGGAGAGATACACCAGATCCAATGTCATAAATATCATTGGTCAGAAGCAACAGCGATGCTACGCAGTATCGCATCGTCCACGATTTACGACTGGTCAAGGTGCACGTATAGCGAAATAGCCATGAAAAGGAGAGACGAAATAAATAAATCCTGACGGATCGAAAGCTGTGAACGAAGTTGTGTTCGAGTTGAGCAGAAGCGGAGAAAGCTGTGTGCGTTGAAATGGTAAATCTGGCCGAGCTACGCTCCATGTCTTTCATGCGATCCTTCCTCCTTTCTATTGGTTAGAGTGAAAAGAGAAGGATTGCATGAACAGTGACATAATCCGAGAATGCGGCCTCTCCGAGCTCGGAATGAAAGAAGAGGAGAGAGTGTGGTGACATAACATTACAGTCAATGTCAGTGTCGGTGATCTTGGCATTGGAGTTGACCGATTTATAATCGAAACGAGAAGCGGTTTTCGCGATATATTATATCACACGGAAACTTAAGATCTGATAAAATTGAGAATGTTGTCAAATATGGATTTCATAGTTGATTCTGTATATTACTATTTTAGTTTAACTCGAAAGGTTAAATTACATATTAAAAAATAACAATTAAATTAACTTGTTTAGATTTCTATAATTTTCATTCGTATCCTTATTTTGTTAAATGATTTTTATCGGTTTTATCAAAAACCCGTTCCGACTTAAGGCGATTATTTATATATATTTGAAAGGCGTCGAAGTGGTACGTCCACGTAGGTCGTGGATTAGTTTAATCGCAGATTTACATGATTTTCGATTTACCAGAAATGGCCCGTGCGATTTGGGTGAAGCACCTTTCCTTGTTGAATGAAACATTTCGCGCGGCGAGGGTTCAAGCCCCGTTCACACGAGATTCGCGCTTTGAATACGAATCGATCGGACCCCGTGTCGACGGTGTTCCCGATTCCTCGAGAATCGTGCAAAAAAACAAAAGGATATGCGTCGTGGATCGCATTTAAAACAGTTTTATTGGAAGGCCAAATGCTCCAGAAGAGAAGAAGAAAAATTCGCTTGAAACTTCTCCACCTGGTGTTTCTGCGATCAAAGAAAATTATATTTTCCAAGAAAGTCCATATTATTTCATTTAAATTGTATATCAACCGATATATTACGGAATAAACGTTTGTCCTGTGTCAGAAACATCTTACGAATTATTTTTTCAATCATCAACGACAGTGCATCTGTAGCAATATATTACTCGATCATAAATTTGTGTCGAACTAATACAAATGTGTAATACTAAATGCAGTGTAAACTAGGCAAAGGTGCACAAAAAGACAGAATAACGACAGATCATCAAGAAGTTATACGACTTATTTATAAAACCATTCCAGCCATTTTGCCACCTGTTGTTGCTGATAGAATAAAAGAACTCGAAGAAACCTTGAAACATTACAAGCTCGAGATGCATTTCATGCTTTTTTCGTGCAATTAAATTCGCTTTTGAAATATCTTTGTTGCAGAAATTACAAGGTAGAAAATACAGATTGTATAACGATAGAAAAAAAAAAAAAAAGAAAAACTTGAGATTCTCCCTTCAAGAATGTTCTTTAAATATTCGTAAAAATTTTGAATATTTTTTTTTAACTTAATTTGATTTTGAAATAACGTAAGAGATGCTTTAGAAAGAGGAGGCAAACATCTCGAAAGGTATCATTAATTGTACATTTTCTCGCGAGATCTGTGATTTAACGATTATACGGACCAAAAGTATCCGGAAGTAAAAGAATTCAGGACTGCAATCGAACCATCAAAGTAACAATTTAATTGATACTTTTGATGCTTGTATATGTAAATTTGTAAATTTGAATAAACATCCGTGAATCTTCTTTGAAATTTGATAAATTTTTCAAATCTACATGTGTACACTAATGTAAGAGTAATTTCTCTTAATTTCGTGCAATTCGTTTCGTGTAATTTCCCCCTTCCTAATGTTGTTATTCTTCTAACGAGAAAATATAATTTTTTCGATTCGTGAAGTCAATTTTCCGTGACAATTTGTGACAATTTTCACAGTGAAAGCTCATCAAGTAGGGGGGGAAATGCAGCTATGTAACTGTTTTGCTCGAAACGCGTGGCCTCGAATTAAAATCAATTGTCCGATGAATCGCGGCTCACGATTCAGGAAATCGATGCGTACAGTTAACCGTCTCGTCATCTTTGCGATTCACTCACGAATAATAAAAAAAATTAAAAAGAGATTTCCAATAACCGACACGAGTCGAAAGAAATTTAGCTGCCTGTTCCTTTCAGAATGTTTCGTGATGTTCAAACTTCGCGAGTCTTCGACTCATATTCTCAAATTCTCGAAGCTCGTAAGAACGTAAAAACGAAGCACGTCCTTGAAAATCATGGTCAGTTTGATCGAACCAGTTCTCGATCCGAAGAGAAACTATCGACCAGACCAGACTTCTTCTTCGAAGCTATAAATGTCTCAGTTCGAAAGAGGAATTCCTCCTATGGAATCGTTACGCTTGGTAAGATCCAGTTTGCCATTGCCGAGGAAGAGAGGAAAATTCGATGAAATGGCGCGAGAAAGACGAAAAAAAGGGGAAAAAACAGTCAGCCGTCGCCAAGTACGAAAGCGAAAGATAAGCTTATCCCCGATTGGACCAGTTTGTATAGCGCCTAGGGGTATGTAGACAAATAACAAGAAGAGCAATCAAGAAAAGATAAAACGCATCCTGCCGAAGAAACAATCCTGCGATCCGGTACAGTGAACCTAGTTTGTTGTGGTGGCACGCTCGATGCAATAAGTGCAGCCTTGCCGTGGAAAGTCGCAAGGCCGTTTCTTCTCCCACTCTATTCTCCTCTCTCTCGTATCCTCGTTAATGCACGAATGACGCGCGAATTAACCGGGTAATCGAATTACAAACACCTCTAACATTTCGCTTAAATCGCTTAATCCATTCAAATTTGTCAAAAATTAAATCCAACTTGGAAACATTTTACTTCTTTCGCTTCTATACTTCGCTTCAACGAACGCTTGTCAGAAAGACAAGGTTGAAAAATCGATGGAAATTCTCTCGTCTAATCACGATTACCAATAACGATTGCAATAATGCAATCATTCGAAATTGATCAAAAGATCGACAAGTTTCGAAGACTAATTCAAAGACAATGCTATCCTTCTTCGTATAATATCCACGGTAAACACGTCGGCCGGCCAAGGTAATCGTATCCACGGCGACTCGCAATTAAAGGGATACTTGTAAATTGCACGTGCGAGCCACACGGGGCCGCTTACATCGTCCTCTTCATTTTTTCATTATCTCCCTTATTCGCGACCTCCCCGTCCCAACGTTAACCGTAGATTTATCATACATCGCACCAACGAGGTTCAAGGCTCTGAATATGCTCGTGCATCACGGTTACAAGAAAATGAGAAATCCCTTTAGGATATTAACGACGACGTAAATAGAGCGTAATTATAATCAGTGTGAATCAATGAGAGAGAGATATAAATTACGGGAGCGTTCCTTGTTTGGAACTATTAATAATAACGTATTCTTAGACAATTTGTTTAAGTTCCTCGAGATATCTGTCGCGTTTCTTGATAAAGAAAATTGAAAATTTTCCTTCCCCGAAGCTTTGTCAGTTCTTGAACTTATTTTTGACATTATCGATGTTTTCGAAACAGTCGAAGAGAATTTATTAATGGCCGTTTTGAAGAATTGTGCGATGCGTGACTACGAGGTGTTAATTATTATTCAAATTAATTAAACAACGCGGAAGATAACGCGTGGCGAAAATCGACTAGTACAATCGCCGATCATAGCTAATAGGAGTAAGAGTAAGAAACAATGTTGCTATGCCATTGAATAGATTCGTTCTTCACAAGGAGAATATCATTAAATAATAATATGAATCATGGGATTTGTCGATGAAAACTCGGAATTCTGGAATCTTTCAAGGCTAAGTTTCAATTAAAAAAATCCGATCGTTAAAGTCTCGTTAATAATGGAAAGTTTTCCGCGATGGAGTCTCCATCCAGTTACAAGAAATGGCAATTTATTCTTTCACAATCCTAATAGTCATTTTATCGGATCGCGTGCACTTTTGAATTCATAAATGTGTATAACGTTGGATAAAAACAGACTTACAAAAGCCTTAAACGATTCGCTTATTAAGAAAACAATATACTCGATGCTTTCTCGATGCCGCGTTTCATTTTTAATCGATTTCTTGTTGCACCTGACAATGAAACGAACCTGTCCGTGCACTCTCCGGCTCGTGAACCGTGCCAGTGGAATGTCCTTCGCGGATTCCCACTTTTTGTCTTAAAAATCCGGGAAGAATGGCTCGTTAAACCAAATGAAAAAGTATCGCGTACATCCGTCTCTTGTGCATAATGCATTTTACTTATTGCACCTTAATACGTTCCTTGAAACCTACGTGCATTATTTCATCGTCGATCAATTTGAAAAATCGCCATTGATAACGATAGAATTCTTCATCTCAACGAAATTATTTCGATCGAAATCTTCTCTAAGATTCTTAACTTCTTAACGTCTAAATTAACATTTTTTTTTAATCTTTACGGATTAGGATAAAACTTTCGAATCGAATATTTCTATAAACTATTTCTTCTTTATGACGAAAGAACTTTTCAACTTTACACCTTAGTAAAAAATTTCGATCGAATATTTCTGTTCTTCAGCGACGAAAGAATTAACTGAATATTCAACGAGTCCTCTCATAACCTTCGAGAGATGCAGCTCGATGATTATTTAACGAAGTACGTTACCGCATTAACCGCTTCCTTCTTATCTATATTCAACAACTAATTAATTAGCCAATCAATTACACTATCTCCAAAAATATTTTTCAGAGGCCTTGCCAAAAACGCTCCATTTACGGGATACACGAGGATCGTGACGAGACAATGTCGAGGACAAGTTGCAAGTCGTATGGCTCCTGTCGAACGACTCAATGCCAAGATCGACGAATCGGTTCGACCGGTCGGGCGGAATGCTCGCCCGATCCAAATACAGCTCGCGATTTTCGAGTGACCGATGCGACGAGAATCGGCAATCGAGTTGGAGATTTTCGGCCGGCACACGTCCGGCCACCGACACGTTGTAACTTTTGTAAATCGTGCCTGCTAACCCGGTAAAACAGTTACGTGACTCCTGTGAATGTATAAAGTAGTTGGATCGTGCCGGTTTTCGCGGGAATCTTATTATACGAAGAATTTTGTACTTTTAGCGATAGTTTAAAAAAAAATCAAAGCCTCGATGTTTAATTTTTAATGCATAGTGTTGTTTATCATTTTATTTGTGACGTAATTTGGATTAGATCGGGAATGAGATGGCATTTGATAAAAATTGTACGTTCAATGTCGCATTTTTTCGCGGTTTAAAAAATAATAAAAAGTATAGTTGCTGATCTTTTGATTTTGAAAAGACAAGATATCTATTCTCGAAAGATAGAAAAATATTCGTGCATTATAGACATTTCACGCTGTTATAATTGTTTCATATTGATATTATTAAATTTTCGTACGTCGTTGTTATAAATTATTACGAGACATAAAAAAAAAAATGCTAAACAGTCGAGTGAACCAACCAGAATTTCGACAAGTCTTATAATTACTTTCAATTATCAAATGTATCATAATTAGAGAATCAATGAGACGCGTTCAAAATCCTCTACTAAATCGTTCGATCCAAGAGAATTCTGATTTCTAAATCTATATACCAATCTCATTTTCATAACCGTTTATACGTAGTTAATCTGTTTTTCAATGGGGAATCGAAACGTGTTGACAGGTATTTGGAAATACAACGCTGTGAGGTTTACACTGGTAAATCCACGTTCACTCGAGAAATGGCAAGACAACAAATTTTAACGAGATTCAAACATTCGTGTTTACGAAGGAACAATATTGTCCTGGAAAACGAAAGCACGAGAAATATCACTGGCGGTACATAACACTGTGACAACTTGCGATCCAACAACATTGATCACTCGACACTGACACGATTGTTT